GACTTTGCACTGAGCTTTATCCCCTGCCCTCATCTGTTCTGTTTTGTTTTGTTTTTTTGAGACAGGGTTTTGCCAAATTGCCCAGGGTGGACTCAAACTGGAATCTTCCTGCCTCAGCCTCCCACAGTGCTGGGATTACAGGCATATGTCACTATGCCCACCTAAAACTAGGGCTTTCTCTCACACACTTGGACACAAGTGTAGGGCTGTGACTCTAGCAGAGGTGGGACTGTCCACTCCTGGACCCTGGCAGGGCCTAGGGCCTCAGCCTGAGTTGATGCCACCAGCACAGTGGGTCCTGAACTCTGGTTCCTTCTTCTTCACCCCATGAGGTTTCTCAGGTCAACAGCCCAGTTCCCTTCCCATAAGGGAGGCAGACTCGACATCAGAGGCCCAGGAGGGAGAAGTAAGCTGCTGCGGCCACAGAACGAGCCAGAGCTCAAGTCTGACCTGGGGACTGTGGGGGCCACGTGGTAGCAGGCCTGGACTAGCGGCCAGGTGGTGGGCAGCTCCAGGTCTACGCGTCTGCACCTGCCTCTTGTCTTCAAAACTTCTAGACTGCTTCCTCATCTGCTGTCACGGTGACGGAAAGGGACACGACCACAGCGGGTGGCCTGGGAGAAGCAGAAGGTCAGAGCTAGGCCAACAACAGACATAGATTTGCCCCAGCCCAGCAGGGCCCAGCCAGGCACAAGGTGTGGGGCCCTGGGCCTAGGCTCATGGTCTCAGGGTTCCTCTCACCCTCTCTAGCATCTCCTTTCCTTCTCAGCCTCCTACCAGCTTTCAAGCCTCAGTGCCAGTCTCACCTCCTCCAGGGAGTGCTCCAAGCTGCCATGCCTGCATCTCACAGTGGTGAGCAAAACCAGCGCAGCCACATTTCTCCCACCCAGACTGAGCTGCTGAGACCCACTCCTACCCCTGCCGTGATGCAGCCACACACCTGCGTGCACACAGTGAGCACCAGCCCCATCTTGCTCTCTGCGCTGTATCAGCTTAGAAGGCCTCAGAAGGGACTTAATAAACATCACGTGCTGGAAAAGTGCAAAGGTGATAAGCGTTGGCTCAAGGGGCTGCGGGAGACACAGATGAGCAGGAGTCCGGAGCAGAGGGACGGTGCCGGGGTCAGTGTCACGAGTATTCCAGAGTTGGGAGGCAGGACCGGGGCCTGGGCCCTTGCTTGCTGCTCTGGACAGTCCCTGTTCCTCTTTGGACCTCAGTCACTTCCTCTGTGCTGAGAGGGAGTGGACCAGAATCTAGTCTTAGCATCTCCTCCAGATATTCTTGGGGATGTGGCACCAAAACCATAAGGCATAAAAAGGTGAGGGCCGCCCCACACCCTGTATGTAACAAAAATAAAGACAAGTTGTAAAATGTACAGGAAGTTTGACCGAGTTTTAACCTTTCCACAATAACTGTTTGGATGCTTCTGAAATATCAAGTATCACAATCTATCCCCAAACGTAGGCTTGGTGGGTACCCGAGGCGGGTTTTGGCCTGCCTGAGTAACCCGACCCACAATCCTGCATCCCTTCCCAGGGACTCGGCTTTCTCACACACTGGTCGTCATTGCCCCAGCCTATCCTCTGGGGAGAACACAGGCTCCGAGGGCCTTTATACTACTACATCGGATACCCACAATTCTCCTGCCAAGCTTCTGACGAGGTGGGAACTCCCAGGAAGCTGCCCAGATCAGCAGGCAGGATCACCCAGCCTCAGGCTTGGGCTGGGCAGTCTCCAGAAGCACACCTAAGCATGCTGTCTCGTCCCTGGGGCCTTGCAGGCAGGCTCTGGATTGACTTGCCAAAAATGCCTCCATGAGGGAGGGGGTTAAAACCAGAAGGGGACCCCAGGCAGCAGGAGCAGCGCCTCTACTCTCCCCACACGGGCCACAGGAACAGGAAGCTGCTTCCGCCGTCCTTGCCCCCGCAGTCTCTTGCCAATACGCACATTCTCACGGGGTCTGCTGGATATCTGCTCTGTGGCAGAAGGGGCTCTGCGGAGGGGAGGGGGCCAGCATGAGCCTCCACACTCACAGCTAACTCAGCACAGACCTGAGGACCCGCCCAGAGAGGAGGCTGGCTGGGGAAGAACCCGGGTGGTCGTGCCCTTGAGTCTGAAGCCAGAGGCCGTTAGCACTGTCAGCACAGAGCTTCAGAGATCTGATCCTTCCCAGCAAGCTGAAGATCTGATTGAAGAGCAAGAGCACTTCCAGAGGTAGCTCTTATTACCTCTGACCTCTTGCCCTGAGCCCCACAGACAACAGACAGACACATAGACAAAGGCTTTCTACAGACATCCAGCTGGAGCTGTGCGCACAGCAGCCCCTCGAGGCGGGGAGTGAGGTTTACTTACTGGACATGCAGAGCAGAGCGTGCACGAGCCACATCCTAGGCGGAGCAGAGGCAGGTGTGTGTGAGCTGAACAGGGAGCTACCACGGGGCCTGGCCAAGCATTCAGCTTCCCCTCTTCAGCTGAGGTGGGCAGGAGGCGGGGACAGTGGTACACACACAGGCAAGGACAGGCAGACACTTTCAAAGAGACACAGCCACTCCTGCCTGCGCAGCCAGCCACATGGCCTCCTCAGCAGCTGGGTGCTAGGTCCGGGGGCTTAGGCAGCTGTCAGTCCTGCTCCATCACTCACTTTTGTGGAATCGTGAGCCAAGGTCACCATTGTTCTGGCTCTCCTTGGCAGTAGATGCTGGAGGTGCAGGAACAATGACCAAGCCCAAGGTCCATGTCCATGTGAATGGGTGCTAGGTCCCTCTCCTGCTTCAGAACTCACTACTAGATAGCACGGCTCAGTGCTAGCCCAGGATTTTGGGTGGCAGGTGCCTCAGCAACTAAATGGGGCTTCCTTTTCCACAGGAAAAATGTCCCACAGCTGGAAACAGCTCCTCTACCTGCCCCACACCCAAGGCCTGGACTGTGGAGGTCCAGTGGGAAGATCCAACATGCTGGCTACAATCACTTCCTCGATCTAACCGGGGCTGGGTTTTCTTCAAACTCTGGCTCCAGCATCCTGATGCTGAGATTGGTCTCACAGGGCTCTGAGCTGCCAGCCTAGAAGAGGCAGACTCCTTCAAGTCCACCTGCCCACAGGCCATTCCAGCCTTCCAGGGAGTGACTACTGACAGCTGCCAGGCAGCATTAAGGGCCAACTTCCTCAGTCCTCAAATTTGCCCCTGTGACGGTGGTCAAGAACGAAGGCTCTCAGCCCACTGCTCCCAAGCAGCCGAGTGCAGGGACGACTGTCCCACAGAACTCCACTGTGACTGTGCATCTAGCTCAGCAGCCATCAGCCGTATGTGGCTGCTGAGGAATATGTCACCAGTGCAACCAACAAACTGAATTTTAAACTGTAATCTTTTTTTAAATTTTTTTTTGGAGACGGGGTTTTGCTATATAGTTTAGCTGGTCTGAACTCACTTGGCTTGAACTTGCAGCAATCCGCCTGCCTCAGCCTCCTGAATGCTGGGATTACAGGCGTGCGCCACCACACCCGGCATAATCTTCATTAATTTAAATTCAGAAAGGCAGGGTGTTACGCCTCTGCTTCTGCAGACCAGCGAGCACTCCGAAGAGTCAACGCAGTAACCATAGAGTAGACAATGGGGTTGACTTTATGACTACATGAAAGCCAACTTTATTTTTTCTCCACACCGAAAGCTCACTTGGCCAAAGTTCTGTGACAATTTGATGACACTGCATACACTTTTGCATTATCTACTTTGGCCTCACAAAATGCCCATGACTGGATTTTACATGATTGAGTAAAGATTACAATTCACCATTTCCCCGTGTGTCACCCAATAAACAGCTGAAAAACAAAGTTCCAGGTCTGAGGACTTCCCTGCCTCATCACAATGCAGGATATTCTCAGGCTGTGACCTTGTCACAGGCTGCATGAGGGCCTGCGGCCTGCAGCCCATCTTTTCACCACTCCAGGGCTCAGCGACTGTCCTCCCCTAGTGCGTCGAGTTCCAAGGGCGCCTGGTAGCACCTCACAGGGGCTCCTCCTACAGCGTTGGTCCAGGAGGGTGGAGAACAGCCCAAAGTCACAGAGCAAATCCTTGCAAAGCCAGGGCCAGGACACAGACTGCAGTTCACAAGACAGGTCTGTGAGAAGCAAGCTTGTGTCTGCAGAGTGAACTTCTGGGCACCTCAGGAGGCCAGGTAGTGTCAATGACTGCATGCTGGACAGGAAGCAAGGCCTTTCTCTACAGCTTTGTTTTGGACTCATCCTGTGTCCAAGATGTTCTAATGCAAGCGTGTCTGTGAACATGCAGAGGCCCCTTCAAGCCCATCTGGTGATACTGCTTCCCCCACAAACCGGAACTTAAGGTCTCCTGATTGTGGCCAGGCTTTGTTATGTGATGTTCCTCCCTCTCAGCATCTAATAGCAGGCTGCGTGTTCAGCAAAAGAAACCAGAAAGTGGCTTCCTAATTTGTTTAACTTTAAGCAAATGTGAAGGGACCGACTGGAAGGCCAACCAACTGGACTGTACTCTTCAAATATCAATGTCATGAATGACAAAGAAGGCTGAGGAACTGCTCCGTGCTGAAGGAGACCAAAGAGAGGGCAACGACAGGCAGGGCAGTGTGTGATGCTGGACTGCAGACCAGAAAAAGACTGGCCTACCACTACTCAGAAAGCTGGCAAAGCTAAGCATGAAGTACAAATCAGTAAGGATTACAGTGACTGGGTACTGTACCTTTCCTTAATTTGAGGACTCTTGTAGACACAGGAGTGGATGCCTTGCTCTTAGGGACGTACACTAACAAGCACTGTAGGATCAAGGGGAAGGATGTATGCGATCATTTCCAAACTGTTCATGGCTCAGAAGGGAGGGGAAGAGAAAGAAGGGGCAACGGAGGAAGGGAAAGACTGAGTGGTAAAATAAAATGTGGCGATATGTTCTTTGCCCTCTCCTTGACACTGCAAAATAAAGTCTCACATGATGTTCAGGGATAGAAGTGTGTGGCATGCGGTGGACCCGCTGTCTGCAGAGTCGCTCAGAAGCGCAAGGTGACACCGTGAGTGGAGGAGGCGGAACCCAGCCTCAGGGCACGGGCCATAGCTCAGATCACCCACTGCCTTCCCAGTCCAGGAAACAGGAGGTCAACCCAGAAAAAGCGTGAGCCCTGCAGGGCGGACAGGCAGAACAGTGGGGATCATTACCACTGAGCACTCAGCAGGGAGCAGACACAAGCAAGGCCAAAGTTTCCATACAAGCCTTCATCTGAGGGTACCCCGATTTCACAGATGTGGGTGCTGGCTCCCAGAGGCAGGAAAAGTAATTTACCCAAAGCCAGATAGTAAGAGGTGCAGTAGGACCTGAACAAGTTTCTCTCCCCCAGAATCACGACTCAGATCCACTACAAACCCTCCCACCTTCAGATCCATGGGATAAGCTTAAAAAGAAAGAAAAATAGACCAGGTGTGGTGGTGCACACCTTTCATCCTAGCACTCGAGAAGCTGGGTCAGGAAGATCACTACAAGTTTGAGGCCAGCCTAAGCTGTTACACAGCTAGACCTTGCCTCAAAAAAAAAAAAAAAAAACCAGGAGAGCTCACTCCACAAATACAGACTGGCACCCTTTTATTACCAGACTGTGGACTGAACTGCATCCTCCTCCAAATTTGTATGCTGAAGCTCTAACCCACAGTGTGACTGTATTTGGAGACAGGGTTTTTAGGAGATTAAAGTTAAAAGATGTCAAAGGGTAGGGCCGGGCCCTAACTCAACAGGACTGGCGGCATAAGAAGGGTTAGATGCACACACAGGGAATGGCAGTGAGCAAGACTGGCAGAGGGTCCTCGCCACCCTGACACCTTGGTTGGACTCCCAGCCTCCAGCCCTGCGGGAAGAATGCCTGCTGTCTAAGCCGCCTGTTCTATGACACTTTGTTGAGGCAGTCCTAGGAGACTCACACACTGGGCTTCTGGCCCAAATAAAACACTGGTGTGTGTGGGTGTGGGTGTGAATGTGCTGGACAGGAGGGTGTTGGGAGGAAGGAACAGGAAGGATCGCTTATCCTTTTGTAACTGTTGCTGGGAGGGGAAGGGTTGCACTGGATCCCAGAATCAGCCTCGTGCTGGCCCCGCCTCCTTCCTGTCTATTTTACATTCCCAGTGCTCCTTGGGAAAGGCAGCAGAGGTCCTCAAACACACTTCAGCACTAGGAGGAAAACATGTATAGTCCCAGTGGAGCCCTTCATTTGACAGACAGCAAAACTAAGGCCCAGAGAGGAAGGGATGAGTCTTTCCCAGTTAAGTATGTGAGGTAGAATGAGTCCCTAGTGTTCCAGCGCCAGCTCTGGCTATCATCCCATTTCTTTCCCTAAAAGAAATTCTCCCTGAGCTAAAGACACTGCCAAGTGCTCAAGGACCCTCTGAGAAGCTCTTGTTCGCAAGGAGAAACAGGGACATATCACAGGATTACGACCACCCAAGAAGAGCGAGAAAGACTGTATCCTCGGTCTTGGCAATGATATAGGTTGCTTGCCTGTACTAATTTACCCTGGTCTAGGTCTGAGGATGACACACAGCCTGAGGTGACACACAGTCTCAATACTTACGAACACAGGCATCCAGAGAAGGCCTCTGGAATTGCTCAAACCGACCAGACTCTCCAAGCAGGGTAGTGACTGCAGGAAGTTAAACACCACCTGTATTCTAGTGTTCTATTTATAGCATACCAAAATCCCACGTTTATGCCTCTCAACTATTTAAAACAGATTTTTGAGGCAGCATTTCCCTAACCACTCCCAGAACAACGTTCTGTGAAACATTCATAGAGTTTCACTGGGGGAAAAAAAGTTACACTATTTTTTTTCTCCTAAGGTTTTATAAATATTTAAGAAAAGTTCTAGATGTTTGTTGTGGGTCAAATGATGCAATAACAATGTGCCTCAAAGCAACTGTGCTATTCTCAAGATAACCAAGCGCATGCTTTCCTCTTAGTTATTAAAAAAAAAAAAAAGGTTTAATTTCTAACTTAATTCTTGTTATAAAAAGTTTAAAAGCAAATACTTCTGCATCAAACTTTTTGGGCAGCAGTTAACTAATCTGCAAAGCTTGCTGTAACTTGCTGTCGATGCTGATCCAAAGTGTGCGTGAGCACTTTTCCCATTACCTTGACAATGCTCCACTCGGGAAGCCTGAGAAATGCTGCTTTAGGCAGAAGAATTGTTGCTGGGAATGAGCTGCTTCTTGTCACCCGTTTTAGATTGCTGTCATTTTCCACTCCAAAAGGACCACAGCCAAAGAACTGGCTCAGCAGTCTCTCTTTGGGACCTCTCACCTTCCTGCCAGCTTCCTCTCTTCCTACCGTGGCGCAGATGAATGCTTTTCTCAAAAAAATACTCAAGACTGTCTGCATGATTTGCTAGCACATTCTTTATAGAGCCGGATAAACTTCAGCTCAGACATGTCATGGTCATCAACAC